GGGGACCTCTATCCTTTAAATTAAATAAAATGAAATGCTTTCGAATCAGGGAACTCTTCCAGTTTGATACTGGTGACAGGAAATACCAGGTGCTACATGGGAGAGAAATCACTGGGTGGCTAGCAGAAGAGCTGTCAGAACTGCTCAGCTCCCATAAGGATACTCACCTCTCATCTGTGGCTAAGTGGACAGACAGTAAATCCCATGTTTTTTCCAGAAGCAATTCCCATGCATATTTTGAGGTAAAGGAAAGGATTGAGCCCTAGCATGAAGTCATTCCCATCTCCAGGACTGGAGATATCCTTTTCCTGTGAACAGGTATCTCTTTCCTCCTCTATATTAAAGTAAATAGAACAGACATGGATTAAGAAATTTTTGTTTTACCCTTATTAAATGGTATTAACAGATTTGTACATGGAGAAGAGACGTATTTTGCCTCATTTGAGACACATGTAATCATGGAGTCTGAATAATCAGTTTGTGTACGCCCTTAACTTTTACACAAAGTGTTTCCAGTAACAGTCATCTGTTGCATACTTAACTGTAAAAATCCCTACAGTTTTATAACACAGAATATTTATTACATACATGCTTAATAAGCAGAGGTATTACCAGTGCTAAGAGAGATTTGACTTGTGCATTTGCAAATTTGCCGTTGCCTCAGAACGTGAAGTGAAATATTGAGGCCATAATTTTTTAGTAGAGCAAGATAATGAGATGCTTAGTAATAAATGTAGCTGAGTGAAGCAAAACTACAGCTAAGTGAACTAAAATATTCATACTTTATTATATAATCTAGTAGAGATCAGAAAGGATATTCTGTGTTCCATAAAGAGCACAGAATATTTACGATTACTTGAGTTTTTTCTTTCCTTGGCATTCATTGAAGTCTCAAACATTGAATCAACTAGTAACGGCTTATCAACCTAGATGATACATTAATTGGATATGAGGATTTTCCATGCTGGGAGTTGGATACTGAGCTATTGTCTGAGGAGGGTTTCCACAATCAGACTGAACGTTCTTTTCAGTACTATTCTGTTTCAGAGTACAGTCTTGGGAAAAAACTTTTGAAATGCAAAAAAGATATTCTAGAGAATGAGAATTTTATTTTGGAGAATTGCAATTCGGCCTGTTTTTGAGGACCAGAGGACCAGATCCACAAAAGAGCTCAGATCTACAAAATGACTTCCAAGTAAAGATTTAAGTAGCAAAGTCGAAATGTGATCTGTAAAGAACCCTTCAGATTCCCACAGGAATCTGAATTTTCACTGTTGAATTCCCTCATTGCTCAAAGCTCTGATTTTCTTCGCATCCGCAATTCTGTCCATCTTCTCAGTGCTTAGCGATGAAGTGTCTGTTTGCTTTGCACCTAGTGCGTGTCAGTCCTTGTTTGAAACTTCAGATTGGGCCTGCATCATCTGACTGCTCTAGCATCTGTCTCCTAACCTAGGAAGCATACTCTTACCACCCCTACCATATGCTTGCTGAATTGGTCCATATACAAAATGTATTCCACGTTTTCCAATCTCATTCTGTATTAAGTTTGTGTAAATGACAGTTACGTACAATGGCTGATCAAAAGCTATGAGTGTTAGTTCATCGCACAGTCTACATATGCTGCTTGTCTACAACATCATATAGTGTATATGGTTGAGTTCTTACTACTTTCTTCCTCCAAGGAAGGATATTCTATATATGGCTGACAAATTCAAGAAAAATTTTAAAAATTTTTTCTTTTTGAAACTTGCATTTATCTGTAAAATTCGGTTGAAACTGGACATCTAGTTCAAAATTACTAGTGGTGATGGCAAACAGACAAACAGGGCGTTTGAGGTGGATTCTTCCTTTGGAAACCAGTTTAAAACATGGTCGATGAGGAGCTACTATTTTTTATGTCACCTCATATAAACTATTTAGTTGGTTTAGGGCACTTGACCAAGACACGGGAAACGTACACTCAGCTTCAATTTTCTTGTTTTGCCTGCTGGAGCACTCCCAAACGCTACCATTTTGGAGGCGTTCCACATGATAGGGAAGTTACAGGCTTTTTGTCAAGCAGGTGCATTGTATTTAAAAATCTATGCACAGTAATCTTCAGTGTCCTTGTATCCATTTTAGCTTTGGCTTCACTGCTTCACCAGTAGCTGATTCCTAGAGAATGCCATTTAGATATGATGAGGTCCTCCAAGAAATCTGGATGGAATGTCCCTCCCTAAGGAGGAACAAAATGTTACTAGCACAACTTCTCAAAACATCTGTTGTCTAGTCTCATTTTGGTGGTGTTTAAATATATTTTTTGTTGGGGTTTTTTTTCAAGATAGGGAATGTGTTAGGTATAAATTCTTGATTACTTATTTATGACAACAATAATTAGTTTAACGAAATAATACAAGTGATAAAGCTTTTCAGATGAAAATTTCTTAAATGTTTAGTATTTTGAACTGTTTGGATAACTTTTTCTTCCATATGTGTGTTGCTAAAGTCTTTATGTTCCTGTTCTTCAGAGAGCCACTCATGCTTTAAATACTGTGAATAGTCAAAATCCTATGAGACATTTGATAGCGTATCTTACATAAGTCTTTGCAAGACTGTGACCCAGGAGCTTTTAAAACTTAATTTCCAAAATAATCACATTCACCATACACATCAGGGACAGCAGCATACTTCAGAGAAGCCACACGGACTAGATTTCTTGAATGGTGCAGAATTGCTGTCTGTGTGAGGCAACAGCCTTTAACTCCTGCATTTCTTCCAGTGTTCTTAGCCATTACTTCGAGAATAAAAATACAGCCTTTCGATGGTTGCTGAAACACCTACAAATTTTTCTTTTTCTTCATGTGAAACAGGAATGTAATGCTAATGGATAAATTTGGCTCATCAGCAAAGTGGTGTATGCACGCTGTCTAAACATAGGCATGTTACAGTCAGCAGAGGCTTTTGAGAGCAGTTACAATGTTCCTTTTCTGAAGAACCTTTCAGAGGCTTAATTAGCCAAAGCACCTAACAGTAGATACCAGAAGTTAAATGAGCTAAACGTACTCACCCTCTTTGCAGTGTTCCTTCACAGTGCTAGTAACTATTAGTACTGTAGTTAGTAAATATAACAACACTATAACTTAGTAGTAACAATATAATTAGTAAAATAGTCTGTTCAGTTTAGTTTAGACCACTCAGTTTATAAGCTTCCCAAACCAAAAATATATAGGAACTGTATTTGACATAAAACCTATAGACAAGCCTTTCAAGAATCACTCTGGACCTGACATGCATATTATCTCCATAGTCCTGACACCCCTTTCTTTTCTGTTCTGTAAAATTGGTTGAGCAATGGGTAGTGCTTGAACCTTTGTAGTATCTCAGATGAATTTATGTAAAGTATCAGCCTTTAGATTAGACGTGTATACGAAGGGTAGATTTTGGTAGCAGAAAAGCAATGCAAGTCCTCTTGAAGAGCTAGTAGCATGTGTGGCTTCTGCTGAACTAACCTTCTTCAATGTGGGGTTTGATCACTTAAATCAATACACAACATAATGCTTCCCAGTTTTTCTGATAGATGTTATGAGTGATGATCAAAGGATATTTTTTTTTAAAACATGCAATTTATACACGCACACACATTTATATGTTCTTATGTTTGTTTTGGACAAACCACAGGGTTCTCAGCCTGGTGAAGTTTACGTTATAAGACTTTTTAGCCAACAGATACAATATGAATATGCAAACTCATTTTTATTCATAGTAATACTGATTTTCCTTTAGAGGCCTCAGAAGGCATTATTCACTGTCTACAGTAGTCTTTCCAGGTGCTTTTATTTTAAATGGGATCAGGTGTTTTACAAGTTCATGTGTTGTGACGATTTGAAGTGGAAAATGGAGTAGATGTTTGTGTTATTCAGTACTTGGTTATGCACATGTCTTCAGGCATTCCAGAAGGGCTTCACTTTATTGCTGTTCTCCAATCCAGCCTTTGTATGCTATTAATAGTGGGATATTGGTTTGTGGGGTTTTTTTTAAACTGTGAAGTTTGGAAAAGGTGTGTAAGCTAGATCTAGCTCATCATATAACTCAGGTAGCCTACTGCACGTCTGCTCGCACACCCTTACTCTGTGACCTTAAAGCTTCTTCCCCATCATGTTACTAAAATTCTGGTGCTACATCATTGTATGAACAGACCTGCGCTAGTCATGTCATGTTGGCTACGTTTTGGCCATGTGTGAAATGCATTCCT